TTAAAATGTTCCAGGACGTAGAACAGTATGTATTTAAATATTATGGTAGATATTTATGTATTTCTGTAAAAAACATAAGCTTACATATGTGTGTGAGTATAAATATGTACATAGGTTCCACCCGTACCCATAACAAAACAATGTATTATAATAACACATTTATTTTGCTTAATAAAATTTTTAATTTGTAATTTTTATACAATACAATTTTTTTACACAAGATAAAAAAATCACATACTTGTAGTAATCGCAGAGACTAGAGTATGTCCTAATTATTTAACATATCACTTTCAATGAGACTTTTCAAGTGACATAAAAATTCAAGAATTTTATTTACATTAGCTACTCTTTTGATAAAAGGATTTTGTTCATTTAATAAAAACAATCTCAAACTAGCGTCACCTTCCATAAATTTATCAACAATTACGTTAAAATCAACTTTATTTTGACTAAGATTTTTTATAACTGATTTCGAGACGACATGGGGGAAAAGGTAGGTAAATGTATTTTTTCATTAGCTATTTTTTGAATCTTCGTAAGCACATCATTTTTAATTATTTACTCATTTTTATTACGTTGTTATAACAAATAAAAATCAAATACATACATCTTTAGCACAAATACTTTACAAATATACACATACGCTGCCGTAACCGACGCAGCAGACAGTGCAGACACTGCAGCAGAGTGCACACACTGCACACCACCTGATGTGTGTACATGAACACTCACATATTGGAGACCCGCGCGACGATGATAAGTCTTCACTCATCGCTACTTCCCCCTTGCCCCGCAAGTGGTTTCCCCCCGCTATCTCTACCGAACGTCCTTAACATCGTTTCTCTCTCATAAAGATCGACCACCTCCCCTTGTTGGTATTATCAGGGCGGAAAAGAGTTGGTATAACTTGGAGAAACAGAGTGCCATACACCCGCAATACCAATCTCTCGATGGGGAACGAAAAAGCTTAGCTACTGGCGCTCACTTCATCAAAACAAAAGGATGAACTCCATCAGCCATACAGCCGTCGCGTGTGCGCATTGGTTAAGCACCGATCGTTAACCCTGCCTCCCGGGCTACATACAAAAGTGATTATAAGGGCGCTCGTCTGGTGGATTGAGGTTACAACCAGCTGCGCCAGCATGTAAGCACAGACCAAAGGCTACGTATGCCTATAACTCAAACTCGCCCCGGTGCGACTTATTCTCTTCGCGATGCGTGTTCCCGTAAAGTAACGATGCAAAAGAGGGGCGCCACTGGGTTGGCTGATTCTTTTCTTCTTTCTTTCTCTTCCCCTCGGCACAAAGGAAATGAAAAATGTCTCTATTAAAAAGGACTCTAGGAGCTGGCAACTTGTATTTTTTCACGGCTCGCTGTATACGTACGCTTCCGTGAGCGCTTTTCGAGGGCCTCGAGATACATGAATCACCGTGAGCGCGAGTACCGGCCGCCGTTAGGAGATGGACGGGCGGATAGCTGGAAAGAGGGAGTGACCATATATGCCCCTTGCGTTGACCACGCGGCCCCGCCTGCCCTCGGCTTTCTTCTTAATTTCACTGGGGATGCGATGGCGTTTTTTACCATTTCTCGAATCCATCAGGTATGAATTCCAGCAACTCGAACGAGGCCTATCTCACGCTCAAGGTCGAGCTGCCGCTGCTCAATGACTTTTTATAAATACACGTACAGTGGAATGAGGGAAAAAAGGTGCAAGAGAGACGGTTACAAGGAGACATTAGGGGGGAGGTGGGGAAGAGGAAACAAAAGTGAAGAGAGACAGAGAGACCTATGGGTGATTTTCTCAGCGCGTCCGTCCGCCGTTGTCGTCTACTCCGCTCACGTTTCATTGCTCGGCCGTGGCGAGTCGCCCGAAACACGATACCGAAATTTATTTTACGATTTTCTGTCCGTGTGAATAAGTCTCCAGTGAGAGAGAGAGAGAGGGGGGGGGGGCAACGGTACGCAAGACGAATTCATCGTGGCCTCTGTGGAGGTGTTTAACGGCAGAAATAGATTCACGATCGCATTCGTCGCGAGAGGCACGATTGGCGGAACGAGCCGTTTACGACCTCGAATGGAAATTTAATGAATACGGAACAGCCTGCTTCTTAAACAAATATTATCCTCCATCAGCCTATTTGATTCTTGTTGGAAAAAAAAAAAAACAGACAGAGAAGAGAAAAAAAGTTACCACGGAGTAAAAAAAAATTTGTCCAGCGATGTAAATGTAACGTGTGAGCGCTCGTGTGTTTGTATTCACGCGACTTCCAGACAATAAGCGACAATAATAGCCTCTTTAGCGGTAATAGACAGCCATTAGGTGAATTAGAGGAGCAACAAAGTCTCGCTAATGGAAAGTGAAGCGACCCTCCTCCTCAACAGACTATGGTGGGTGCACACTAAGACGCAGGCCAGCGATTTGCTCGTGTATACACGGGGGCTGTAAGCAGTCGATGAATAATGGATTGTATGACCTGCTCATCGGCCAGACTGGCCACTGCTGCTGTTGTTACTGGCCAGACGCGTCGTGCTTGTAAGATTTCACGTAACGCTTAGTAAATTGCCCTGGCCGCAGCCGCTAGCGCAGCAAAATCGTGGCCATCTTCGGTGGGCACAGGGTGCATCCCGCTCTCTTGGCTCCTCTGTAAACGCTGCGCCATTACGTGGGCCTCTTCTCGCCTGTTTATGTGCTGCTGGTGGTACTTTCGTGCTCGGATTCAACTACATTTGCGAGCCGGCTAAAATTATAATGATGCTCGAGAAAATAAGACGACGAGGTTGGGTGCTGGGAGGAACTGCGTGCGAGGGGAACGAAATTTACACGCTGCCGTGGTGAGATGGGCTTGTAAGAGGTATACGGGAGTGTTTTATCGAGGTATGCTTGAATATTCATTAATATTCCTGTTACTGTTCAGAGGATGAAAAAAATCCTGTTACATGAAATTTAATTTTGGTATTCGAAAGAAACGTGTTTCTTTTCCGTCGATACCTTATCCGTTTGAGTAAAAGACGGATGATATCGGACATAGTATAGAGAACTCGCACATTGATAAAACAAAAATTCAAAGAAATATAGAAAATAAATAATTTCTTTTTTTTAATTCACTCGTATTTTACAACTTATTGGACACACTGGTGCCTTTGCTTGATACGAGATTAAGATGCCATCAAGAAAATTTTTGAAGCAGTTTCAACAATTGAGTAGTACATATATGGAGTCGGCTATCTTTCGTGAGCCATACAATTTCCAGAAAAGTTGATGAAAAGCCGTGATTGCGATTTATTCACCCTCGCAGTAGTTGACTAGAAAAGCTCTTGGATAGCTCGAGACTTCTCGCATTACAAATTTATCATGTACCGTGCAAAACTCTTTTTCTCTGCCGTTCTCAGTAAAACGCCATTGCAATATACAGCTCACGAAGCCTTAACACCTCGAGAGTATCCACATACATTCACACGAAGGATTTCTTCCTTTCAATGCAATATACACGAGATCAATAATCATAAATTCTGCTCCGCGAATAAATCGCCGATTGTGGGGCTCGAGCAAAATAAATTGTTTGCTTATCAGTGGCCTTTTCTCCTCTGCGTGCGAGAGAAAGAGAGAGGGAACGTGCACAGGTATTTGCAACATAAATCACGTACACACACAGACACTCGAATGACAACTCCGGGAGAAAGCTTTTTGCTGTATAGGTATGTGTTTATACTAAAGTATCATAACAAATGGTATTTCAAGAGCGGACAGTAACAAAAAACCAAGCGAGGCTGAGAGCGGCATATATACTTATAAATAAATATTTTTAAACTTATAAATCGTGTCAACAATGAAAAATCTGATCATAAAAATATTTGCAAAGAATTTTACTCACTTTGTTTGAAATGCAATACTTTTTACCTGAAATTGGATGTACATCAGAAAACTATTATTNTAAATAAAGTTTTTTATCTTCTGACACGGCATTTTTTGTGGTGGAAAGATCTGAAACAAATATTACAACACTTATTTATGCAAGGTTAAATTGTAAAAAAAAAATATTTTTCATTATTACAAAAAAAATCCTATCTTAAAAATGAGAATAATCACGAATCAAGCCTTTTACTCTTCATGTAATTGATTCAAACTGGGATAATGTGATGACTCGAGATTTGAATGGCAAGTGCAGGTTGTAAAAATAAACAATTTGTGAATCATTACTACAATCATGTTTTGTTGTTACAAAATATAATTAAAATTAAAATTTCATTGAACTATCTATAAAAAGTAAAACGTAAAATATAAATGACAGTATTAAAACTCTAAGGCATAGATTAAGTACATTAAATAGTATTTGTTATCAACATGAAAATAAACGTACTACGAATTAGAAGAAGTTATTCAGCCAAATGACTAAAAATAAGTCTACCGTTTAATTATTCCGTGGCTACTACCGAAGAGCGTATACGATGCACTTAATATCTGCATTGTTCGCAAATTAAATATATGCCGAGGACGAGCTATATCTTCATGCAAGCATCAAGCATCATCATGGCAATATTAATGATAAATTTAATAATCAAACACTCAATAATACTTAAGAATTAAAAAATTATTTATTGAAATATGGATCATTAAAAATATTTTAAATCAGCGAACAAATCATACTTGACAGATCTAGTACACTGAAAACACCATATTGGGGTAGCAGATGATCTGGAGCTGTGTAATAATTTCTTGAACAAAAGTCTTTCTAACTGACTTGCAAAAAACTCGTCAGCAGACAATGTAATATTTAAGAATGTTAAAATAAAAATATTGCTCAATAATACGACTCATTTGAAAACTAAACGGCTATTGTACATTCTTCTACGTGACATATAACGAAATTTTTTTAAAGATACCAAATACAAAGTATGTATACATTGAAATCATCACACTTCGTAATCTACCGTTTTCACTGAATATAAAAACCTACTCGACAGAAAATTTTTCAGTCATTTATAAATCTTACAAGCAGAAACATTATAAAAGATTGTTAAATAGAGAAACAATGATTTTAAAACTAATAAGTACATTAGTGTTGGTACTAGCTTCAGGTATCGGTCATACGAGTTCTACTCCTATTGGGACATCAGCAGCACCGTCAGATGATTGGGGAAACTTGTTTTTCGAAACCATTAGTGCAGTACTCTCAGCGGATCCTGCAACCTTCATAAATAATGCTGCTGCTGACATAACTAAGTTTGGAATAGAGACAGCAAAATCACTTACGCCATCTGATGAGTCATTTCGACCAAAAGAGTTCTACACAGAGAGTGCAACTAAATTATCAGGAGGTTCAAAAGAGTGGTTGACTCAAGATACTGCTGGGTTACGGACACCTACTAATGAGAAAGTAAAGGTAGCCGTAAACGTACCTGGCCAGTTTTCAGCGTTTACTACGAATGTAAAATATCCACTGACAACTGATACTTTTAAATCATCGATATATAATAAAGATTCGGTTAACTTGGCAGTGAATACTCCTACTAAGCTGCCAGAATTTAAAGCAGAAATAAATAATCCGTTCACATATGCTGGATTATTGAGCCCAGCGAATGAACAAGTAAGATTAGCGACAAATGCACCTGTTAGATTACCAGGGCTTAGGACAGATATACAATTTCAACCAACAACTGATGCTGTTGGAGCATCGCTGTATACAAATAAGCAAGTAAGTTTAGGGCTCAATGCCACCGCCGGCTTACCACAATTTGTGGGAGGAATGAAAAATCCGTTGATACCGGATGCTATTGGATTGTCTTCACCTGAGCAAATAAGATTTGGGATGGATACGGCTGTTAGACTGCCAGGGCTGCGGACAAATATAAAATTTCAACCGACAACTGATGCTATTGGAGCATTATTGCATACTAATAAGCATTTTAGTGTAGGGCTCAATGCAACTACCAGATTACCACAATTTGTGGGAGGAATAAAAAATCCGTTGACAACGGATGCTATTGGACTGTCTTCACCTGAGCGAGTAAGATTTGCGGTAAACACGCCTGTTAGACTACCAGGGCTTAGAACAGATATACAATTTCAACCAACAACTGATGCTGCTAGAGCATCGCTGTATACAAAGAAGCAATCAAGTTTAGGGTTCAATGCCACCGCCGGCTTACCACAATTTGTGGGAGGAATAAAAAATCCGTTGATACCGGATACTATTGGATTGTCTTCACCTGAGCAAGTGAGATTTGCGATAAATGCGCCTGTTAGATTACCAGAGCTGAGGACAGATATACAATTTCAACCTACAACTGATGCTGTTAGAGCATCATTGCATACTAATAAGCATTTTAGTGTAGGGCTCAATGCCACCACCATCTTACCACAATTTGAGGGAGGAATAAAAAAGCCGTTGATACCGGATGCTATTAGATTGTCTTCACCGGAGCAAGTAAAAATTGCGATAAATGCGCCTGTTCAATTTCCTGGGCTTACGGCAACTGCTAGATTGACAAATATTGAAAATACATCGAAAATTGATGCTGGTACAGATTTACACAGTATGTTACAATTAAATGTTGACAGACCGATGAAATTAAAAACACAGACACAGGATGTATCGACACATGTGACTGCTGGGCGGATAGGATTCACGACAGAAATTACAAATCCGTCAACAACTAATGCTTCTAAATCATCGACATCACTCGAGAAATCAGAGAATTCAACAATAAATAAATCTGAACAGTCTTCATTAGCTACAGATGCACAAAGTATGTTACAATCAAATGTTGACGGACCGATGGAATTAAAAACACAGACACAGGATGTATCGACACATGTGACTGCTGGGCGGATAGGATTCACGACAGAAATTACAAATCCGTCAACAATTAATGCTTCTAAATCATCGAAATCACTCGAGAAATCAGCGAATTCAACAATAAATAAATCTTCTGAACAGTCTTCATTAGCTACAGATGCACAAAGTATGATACAATCAAATGTTACTGGACCGTTGGAATTAAAAACACAGACACAGGATGTATCGGCAAATATGACTGCTGGGCGGATAGGATTCACGACAGAAATTACAAATCCGTCAACAATTAATGCTTCTAAATCATCGACATCAATCGAGAAATCAGCGAATACAACAATAAATAAATCTTTTGAACAGTCTTCATTAGCTACAGATGCACAAAGTATGTTACAATCAAATGTTACTGGACCGATGGAATTAAAAACACAGGCACAGGATGTATCGGCAAATATGACTGCTGGGCGGATAGGATTCACGACAGAAATTACAAATCCGTCAACAATTAATGCTTCTAAATCATCGACATCAATCGAGAAATCAGCGAATACAACAATAAATAAATCTTTTGAACAGTCTTCATTAGCTACAGATGCACAAAGTATGTTACAATCAAATGTTACTGGACCGATGGAATTAAAAACACAGGCACAGGATGTATCGGCAAATATGACTGCTGGGCGGATAGGATTCACGACAGAAATTACAAATCCGTCAACAATTAATGCTTCTAAATCATCGACATCAATCGAGAAATCAGCGAATACAACAATAAATAAATCTTTTGAACAGTCTTCATTAGCTACAGATGCACAAAGTATGTTACAATCAAATGTTACTGGACCGATGGAATTAAAAACACAGGCACAGGATGTATCGGCAAATATGACTGCTGGGCGGATAGGATTCACGACAGAAATTACAAATCCGTCAACAATTAATGCTTCTAAATCATCGACATCAATCGAGAAATCAGCGAATTCAACAATAAATAAATCTTCTGAACAGTCTTCATTAGCTACAGATGCACAAAGTATGTTACAATCAAATGTTACTGGACCCGTGGAATTAAAAACACAGGCACAGGATGTATCGGCAAATATGACTGCTGGGCGGATAGGATTCACGACAGAAATTACAAATCCGTCAACAATTAATGCTTCTAAATCATCGACATCAATCGAGAAATCAGCGAATACAACAATAAATAAATCTTTTGAACAGTCTTCATTAGCTACAGATGCACAAAGTATGTTACAATCAAATGTTACTGGACCGATGGAATTAAAAACACAGGCACAGGATGTATCGGCAAATATGACTGCTGGGCGGATAGGATTCACGACAGAAATTACAAATCCGTCAACAATTAATGCTTCTAAATCATCGACATCAATCGAGAAATCAGCGAATACAACAATAAATAAATCTTTTGAACAGTCTTCATTAGCTACAGATGCACAAAGTATGTTACAATCAAATGTTACTGGACCGATGGAATTAAAAACACAGGCACAGGATGTATCGGCAAATATGACTGCTGGGCGGATAGGATTCACGACAGAAATTACAAATCCGTCAACAATTAATGCTTCTAAATCATCGACATCAATCGAGAAATCAGCGAATACAACAATAAATAAATCTTTTGAACAGTCTTCATTAGCTACAGATGCACAAAGTATGTTACAATCAAATGTTACTGGACCGATGGAATTAAAAACACAGGCACAGGATGTATCGGCAAATATGACTGCTGGGCGGATAGGATTCACGACAGAAATTACAAATCCGTCAACAATTAATGCTTCTAAATCATCGACATCAATCGAGAAATCAGCGAATACAACAATAAATAAATCTTTTGAACAGTCTTCATTAGCTACAGATGCACAAAGTATGTTACAATCAAATGTTACTGGACCGATGGAATTAAAAACACAGGCACAGGATGTATCGGCAAATATGACTGCTGGGCGGATAGGATTCACGACAGAAATTACAAATCCGTCAACAATTAATGCTTCTAAATCATCGACATCAATCGAGAAATCAGCGAATTCAACAATAAATAAATCTTTTGAACAGTCTTCATTAGCTACAGATGCACAAAGTATGTTACAATCAAATGTTACTGGACC